TTTCTTAGTTTGTGTTTAAAGTTGTTGATTCCATTAATATGACGGTGAAATCACTGGCTTCGCCATTTATATAAAAGAAGAGGGAAACCACCTTATAAAGCAAAGCCTCATTCTTAAACTAATTATATTTAAATTCATTGAAAAATTGATAATTATTTTGAAATTTTTTTAAAAAAATTATCTTTTTGTCTGTTGAGGAAAAATCATTCTAAGTTCTCCTTATATTATCTTTTCAACTAATTCATTATTTCGTATCATTGTGCACCATAAGCATTAAAGGTTTTCTTCATCGAGACATCATCAAAAACAAGATATTATTTTCAAACTTGTGATTATTAATTAGAATAGTAACGATTACATAAATTTAATCCGCAACAATATATCCCAAATATATGGAGGAAGATCAACAACTTCCACCTTCTCCTCCAATCATTATCCCCTTCTAATGCTTTTCTAAAACATATCATATCATTCACATTTCCAATAATTTCTTTTACTTAGAAAAAAAACATACCCATAACCAAGTACGATCCATCTATTGATACATAGATATATAACATGTTGCTCATATCAATCAAATCGTCATTCATTTCTACAACTATCATGCATGCTCCCAAATCTAATTTACCTAATTAATTCACATAATCTTGCCTTGATGACCAAATTGCACAATATCTCTATAACCATAATTAGTCCTCCATTATTTATAGAATTTCCTGTCTTCAAAAAAAAATAATAATAAAATAACAAAATTAAAACTAAAATACTATTTTTTTTAGATCGAAAAGCTTGAAGAATTAATGGAGGTTTGTTCATGGATCTCCACCAGACATGGCACGGGCCCGGTGGGTAAGCTCTCATTCTTTTTCTCGGTTAACCTAACCATAATTTATGGTTACAATTTGGTTTTGTGCAGGGTTTTTATTATTATTATTATTATTTAAGTAAAATATACAAATATACACAATACATATTCAAGCACGACACATTAATTTAACAAATATATAAAGAAAATTCGTATATACAAGAATTCAAACACACAATCTTACGTTTGAAGGAACTTCGTTTAATTAGCTGATACAAGGCTCCATTGACTTTTTCTTTTTCTTTTCTTTTTTTTTCTGTTTCTATTTATTTTTTTATGAGGAGCTTGTGGTTATTGCTAGCATCAAAGAGTTATAATTACATAAAATTTTTAATAATGTTTTTAAAATATTAATTTAATTTAATTATTATAAATAATT